AACATGGAAAAGAAATATTAAAGTATGAAATAAATCTATATAATACAAATTTTAATATTTTTAAAGTACTAAAGTAAATTAGCCTTGATCGCTTAAGCGATGTAAGATCTCGCTTAAGCGATCCTGTATATTTAGCCTTGGTCGCTTAAACGATGTATGTTATCGCTTAAGCTATCTTGTCAAAGGTAGAATAAAGATCATCCAAATATATTGGATCGTTTAAGCGATTTCAGGTCTCACTTACACGATCCAGTATATTTAGCCTTAGTCGCTTAAGCAATGGACAGTCACTTAAGCGATCACGTACAAGGCAGAATCAAGATACTTAAGCGATTCTTCACTTTTAGCCTCGGTCGCTTAAGCGATGTAGGATCGCTTAAGTGATCAAGTCCAAGGCAGAATCAAGATCACCCCAAGCGCACGATCGTTTAAGCGATTTTAAGTCTCGCTAAAGCGATTCTTTACTTTTACCCTTAGTCGCTTAAGCGATCAAGTATAAGGTAGAATCAAGATCACTTAAGCGATTCTTCACTTTTAACCTTGGTTGCTTAAGCGATGCATGATCACATAAGCAACCAAGGCCATTTTGCTTCTTATCTCCTCAATCTTTTGATATTGTGCACGTTTGAGTGAGAAATTATATTCTGTATTGTGGGTCAGCTCTATATTCAATCATAACCATCCATATTTGTGAAATGAAGTATGTTTCTACTAATGTGTCACACGTGACTAATTCAATAAATTGATTGATTGATTGACTTGACACAACAATTATGTTGATAATATTTATTTTGCCTGTCTTTCTTCTTTGGGCAGTAGTTAGTGCCTTACAGAGGTAATATGAGAAATTTTACTTGCTTAAACCCTTTTTAAAATGGATGAAAATGAAAAATAATTAATTTTATTTAATATGATATAAATGATGATTTATTCAAGGTAACAATTAAATTGAAAACATAAAAAATAGAAAAGAACAAGTCTTCAACTGTTGGCCTTGGCAACTCTCTCGATTTCATCCTTCTTCTTGATGACATAGCTGGAAATACAAGGACATAAAATCAATTTAATGCACCATAAAAGAGAAACATAATAACTTTATCAAATCGCTTAAGCGATCTTTGGTCGCTTAAGCGATTTGCTTGTCAGATCTGCAGATAAGAGCAAATCGCTTAAGCAAGCTGGTGTTAACCAGATCTGACGAGTAGCTGATTACGTTAGCGACCTAAGATCGCTTAAACGATCTGTTGTTCAAATTTGCAAATAACAGCCGATCGCTTAAGCGATATTCTGTCACTTAAGCGATCTGCTCTTATCTACAGATCTTACGGCAGGTTGCTTGCTTTCTTGCTTCTGATCCATTCAAACCTAATTTTATGTATTTGCATGTGAACGATTCTGGCAACTGCTTCTCTTATGGCTAGGTTGCTTGCAAATTGAGCACTTATTCATCCTCCGGGGAACCTCATAGGCTGATGGAATACACTTAACTCTTTTTCTCCCTTTTTGTCTTCTTGAATGGTGGATGGATGATAATGTCAACCAACTCTGGCAGCACCACCCACCGCTCTTCTGGAGGAACTTGATATATTATTTCTACATAAGCCAACATGTAGTGGTTTGCCATATAGAGAGGGGAGCAAAGTTTCATGTAAATTCTTGAACTAAAATCCGGCTTTCGTTGGTATTTCAGTGTTGCTAGTGCATGAGGACAAGGTAAACGTTGAATGTCAATCACTTTATAGCTGCAAGTTTTACTAAGAAGGTTAACTAGGGCATCTGGACCATAGCCGCGCACAGTGAACTCTTGAGCATTGAGAGGATAGGCAAACAGTGCATTTGACAGTTCCATACGTTCTCGCAATAATTTTTTTAGCTGAGGGAATAAGGGTTGTGGTAAAATTATCTGACTCCGTACGACGCTCATGGAACCATTGTGACAATGTCCTCTGGATTGCATAAAAAAGGGCAACAATTGGAAATTCTTTTTCTATTAACAACTTCTAATTTATGGACTCGACTATGTTTGTGATCATGACATTGAACCTTCTTCCAGGAAAGTAAGTTGTACTCCATCTGTTGAAGCCAACATCATGCTCAAGATACTTAGCAATTCTATCATCCTTGATCCGCATTTGCAGAAGTGCTCCTCGAACTCATCATCTTGATAATCTTTTGTTGCCATGTAGTATGTTTGAAGGAGGCCATCACACTTAAAATTTTGTTTTATGTTCTCGCCAAGGTGTCTCATACATAATCTGTGATGTGCCTATCAGATATTATGCACAACTCGTCACTGTCATGCACTATCGTAAGTAATTGCTAAAAAAATCAAGTCCACGACTTGTCGTTCTTAGAGTCAACCACACACCGTGCAATGGGATATGTGTGATTCTCGATGTCCTGTGCAATGGCCACCAACAATGTACCTCCATACTTTCCCGTTAAAAAGCAACCATCAACAACCAACACCTTTCTCATGTTTACAAAACCCCTTATAACAAAACCATAAGCAACAAAAAAATATTTAAACCTCATATTCTTGTCCCACTTCAAAGCCATCTTGCTACCTTGGTTTGTCAACTCAAGCATATAACGGTACTCTTCTAATACTGCGTATCCATGCTCTAGCGTGCCCCTCACAAAATCTTATGCATGTTGTCTCCCTTTTCAACATTTCCAATAACTAACATCGCACCCCAACTCTGTGCGAACAAGTCTCTGAATGTCCTTAAGAGATGGACTTTTCCTTTCAACAAACTAACTTTTGACAAATTGTCCAATAACATCAGCAGAGGCTTGTCGATGCTCGCCTGAAATATGTCCCAACCCACATGTGTGCTCAGTTATATGTGCTAACAATAAATTTTTTGAACTCCGCCAACCTTCTACAATAAACCTGCCACTTGCATTTTCGGTCACGACATGCAATCGTCACTACTGATGAATTAGAATTTTTGGTTATGAACTCAAAATTACCTCTCACGATAACAAATTTTAGCTTCCTCAGCACTTCCTCCTTTCTTTCAAATAAATAACCTACGTGCAAGTCCAATCCATCAGTAATAATCTGAGATGATTCATTAGTACTCGCAATTGCCGCCTTTGAGCCTGCATAAACGACCATAGTGTTTTCTTCCTCATAAACTACACCTTCTGCATAATCTGTATTTATAGGAATCTTTACATCTGCAGAAACATATACGGGGTCCTACTCGTCCACATTTTCATTCTGCCCCACATGACCAACCTCTTCTATAGTGTCCTTCTCACCACCCAAATCACCGCCTACTCTTGATTTTTCAACAAAAAAATCAATGCCCTCGTAGTTAAAATTAAAACTAGCATTCTCCCTACCCAAATCACCGCTTACTATTGAACCAACTTCCAATGCTTTATCCACAACCGAAACCGTTAAAATCGACCTCGAACCATTATCGCCCACATCAAGCATAAATAACTTCATATCTTCATCAGACATTAATACAACAGGGGTACCTTAAAATTTGCAAGAGCTCTGCTTAAAACATACTTCATAACTATATCACTATGTGAGCAACTCAACCCATCTCTTTTAATGATTTCATCAATCAACTCATCAAAACTAACTTATGTACTCAAAGCAATTGTTTTAACTTGTTTGCTCTTCCCAATCCACTTCTAGCAACTTTTTTTCCTTCACACTCTCACCAAAATATTCAACACCCAAAACCACTTGTCCCATGTCTAATAATAACCAAGTACCTATAATGCAAGAAAACAAAAATTATTAACCAATATATTAAGGGTTGATAGATTTTAAAAAGCATCTGCAGAGTCGCTTAAGTGATGTGGTTTATCGCTTAAGCGATCTTCTACCAATACATGATCACTTAAGTAATCTGCTACCATATACTAGACTTATAGCTAATAGCTTAAACGATCTACTGCCATATACCTACTCGCTTAAGCGATCTGTCATCTGCTGCATTATACCAGACATACCAGATCGCTTAAGTGATCCATCAGATCCATAATACATTTGCAGTCATCTCCAACAATCGGTGCTACCACCTCCAGATACCCTCAATGCAAGAAAATATTCAACAAATTTCACTCCATTTAACTTGCATTACATCAAACACAACCCAACAACCTAAACAACTAAATTAAAATGATAACTCAAACCCAATCCATCATTAAATCTTTGTAAATTGAAATTTAAAATGCAAAAAGGAGATACACATACCTGCACGAAATGTCAGGAGGAGATGGATCTTTGACGGAGAAAATATTAATGGCAGAGGAAGAAGAAAGTCTTAATGGCGGAGGAAGAAGAAGATGGAGAGGAAGGAGAAGATGTAGATGAAGCTTAGAAGAAACAACAACCATGGGAGGTGCGTTAATGTGGCGGGAGGAAGAAGAAGAAGGTGTTTGGGTTTGTTTGCAAGAATTTCAACTTTTGGGCGACATATTATAATTTTTAAAAGATTACATAGTACTTCATTAATCCTAATTAACCACTAATCATGTTTAATTAACCTTAATCAATAATAAGACTATTTACTTAACACTTTAAAACTATATAACCTTTTAATTAAATTTGAACTTCATTTGGTCTTTTAATAAAATGTCCCGTGGAGTTGGCGGCTACAAAAACTTATAAGACTGTTTAATTTGATTTATCCCCATTCCTTTAAAACTATAAACATTTTTGAATTTTTTATAGTTGTTAGTTATCTAAGAAAAATGCCCATAAAATCTTAAATAAATTATTTCACATTTCTATAAACATTTTTTATCTCTTTTATTTTAAAGTATTAAAATATCAAAATACCCTTAATTATTATTATTTATTTATTATATATATTAAAAAAATTAGTAATATATGACTACGAACTTTTTTTTTAATGTTTTTAATCAAATAACTAACAACTTTTTTTTTCAAATTGTACCAAACGAACTCTAAACTCTACTAGCATAAACGTAGGAAATGAACATTTATGCGGATGATATGGCTAGTAAGATTTCTACTCTATTGGGTTTAGAACTTGTGTTTTATTTGGTCTTTGCTATTTGAGGTCCACTTTTATTAGATGTTTACATCAGTACATGTCACATAGAAAAATCCTCTTTCATCTCAAAGTTCTAAACTCAATTAAGGGTACATTACACAAACTTCGACTAAACACTTCTGCAGCTAGTAAGGGCAGTATATCCATTCAATCTTCCTTGAACTGTTGCTAGAAGCTGCCCGGCGTTTGGTCCTCTCGCTTACCTTACCACTCTCAACCATGATCTTTCTTATGTTAGCACAACAGGTGACGACAGAGGCAACTCCAACTGCAGTAATGCGAGGGCATCGAACCAGGTAACATGACTCCAGCCCTGTGCAATTCCTAACAAGTTGGCCTAAACCAGCATCTGTTATTTGTGCGCACCGCCTCAGAACTAAATTCTTGAGTAATGGGCAACCTTCCCCAATCTCAGCCATTGACACATCTCCCATATTCTGTCAATTGAGAGCAGTACAGTTAGAAAATGCCCAGTAAAAAATAAATTCAAGAAAAATGGTACAAGGGGACAAAATATAGAGTGAACTTGCCGCGAGTCCAGTTATGCTGAGCTGTTGGAGTTGAGATGATCCCCTTGCAATGGCTATTATTCCGGCATCACCAACTTCATGGCAGCCACTGACACTGAGAAATCTTAAGGAGCAACCCTCACCAACAGCAATCAAGCCCTCATCCCCCACTCTAGTAAATTAAAGAATAAACAATATAAGATGGACAACCGGACAGTATATATAGTGGAGGCATCAGGAAATAAACTATCATCTATGATCTATAATTTAATCCACACTTCTGAGAAAACACATAATTACTATTACGCAAGCCAACATTAGCAGTTCACTGCATTTCCCTGAATGGTGAAGGAGCTAATTAAAAATAAAGAATACTAGCAACCATGGATTATTTTGTCCATATTACATGAAAAAATGTGCCATATCTTTTAACTATTGCATACAAGGAAGAAAGCTAAGAGTAAATCCAAATGAAACTCAAATCTAAACCAATAAAAAGTATTTCCCAATTTAATCTCTCTCGTAAAAAATAATCATATTCTTGGGACAAATGACGACAGTTATAAATCAGAGAATAAGACTTTACCTATCACAAAGTTCAACTCTAAGGTCAGTCAGAGATTTGCAGTACTCACCAACTGCTGTAAGTCCTTTGTTACCAATCTATCAACAAACCAAAAAAGAAAATGAATCTTCCCAGCAAATCATCCTCTAAGCAAACAACTTAAGAATATCGGTAGACAAAAAACTTGAGAATGTATTAGTTTTCAGTAAAATGAGTAAGATACAGATGGATAACTAATAAAAATGAATAAATTAGAGATGGATAACTAATAATAACCATGGGACACATTTTCTTAATTACCCCTTCCCAAGCATCCCTAAACCCCAACATATATCCCCTCAACACTAGTGTCAATGATGTTCAATCTCGAGACCTCCTATTTAACCATAGGAGACTCCAAGATAAAGAAGAACAACCATTATATTATTAAAATTTGTTTCTTTGATTTCCCCAAATCCTTTTGGTCGTTTCTGAATAACGATAACCCAAGACATTTAATGTTCCAAACCAAAAAAATTATCTTCAGAAGGAGGTTCAAGGTCATCAAGCTGATTTTAGTGTCACAAGGGGCAGTGCACCATTTTGTACAGAATTATAGTTGCATGGTACAAAATAGAATCACAGAAAAAAAATATAATCAGTCAAATTGTGAAATAGTAGCAACTTCCAAGAATAACCTTTTAACTGTAATATTAATACAAGGGATCATTCTAATAACATTGAAATTTTGAGAAAAATATCACAATAGTCAAAAGACCTGATATGCTTGAATTGAGCACTGTAGGCAAACATGAAAGTGTAAAGAGACTGAAGAGAAAGAGCATGAGAGAGAGGAAGAGAACCTCATCGCATCGACAAATCTGAAGTTTCTTCAAATTCTGACAGCCTCTAGCTATGCCACAGATGGCATCATCATTGATAACAGAACATTCTACTAAGAGAAGAGCTTGCAAGAACTCACAACCCCTTCCAACTTCAAGAAAAGCACGATTACCAATTAGAGGGCATTGAAACACAGCTAAGTTTGTGAGGCACCTGCAGATAGTAAGAATTTGGAATTGACATCATAGCAGAAGTACTAAAAGAGAAAGTCAACTATTTGTAGACAAAAACAAATGAGAAGGTGAGTTATGAAATCAGTTCAATGCAAAATGAATTACAATTCAAGCAGAATGCAAGCAACACCCTCCATTCACAGTGTGAAACAAGTAGAAGAACACGGACCTCTGAAACAATGCAATACAAGAGACATCAACAAAAGAGAACTAATGGTAGCTATATTGCACCATTCTACAGATGTATCACTCATCAATTAGCATAAAAGTAAATTAAAACACTTCATCAAGTCTACAGCCAGAGAAAATAGATGATGGATACAATCTTTACCTCATAGCGGACATTTAGACAATAATCAGACTCCTAATGTAACAATATGAAATATTTCACCCAAAGGGACAACACATTTTGTCCGGAACAAAACCAAGTAAAGTACGATTCAAAAATCAAAACAGCTTTTACATATAGTAGTTACTGAAAAGCTCAAACACATATTTTAGTGATCCATCTAATAAAAAAATTAAAAACTCTGAGATATAGAAGACTCTTCTAGAAAAAAGGAGAATGTAATATCTGCAAGTTTATGAATTTGTACAGTTTGGTGCCCATAAAAAATTGGATTGATATGTAATAGTAGCAGAACAGCAGTTTAAGCATGCGGAAAAGAATTCCAGAAGAGCTGCAACACAAGGGAATGAACAAGCTTCTGCACCCAAAACAACTGCTCCAGGCAACATCATTACCACATTCATGCCTAATTAAATTAAAGGAGAGAGAAGGGAACATACCGACATGATTGTCCAATTGACTCTAGTCCTACAGTTCCAATATCTTGGCAACAGTAAATTTCAAGATTTGTGAGTTCTTTGCAACCTGCGGCAATCGCTTCCAAACCCAAGTCAGTCAAGAAAGGGCAATCACTTAGACTGAGATTTTTTAACCTCTTACACCCATTCCCAATAGCACACAAACTCCTGTAATGTAAGATAGATCAGCTCAAACTTCATCTTTTGACCCAATGGAGAAAGCTAATGTCTAAAAGCAAAACCAGGAGTATCCCATTGAATCTCATATGAAAATCAACTGCTAAAATTGCATGGTCTTTTCCCAAGCTTATTCTGCCTCCATATGGGCCATATGTGAATAACTGAAGTAAAAGAATGGAAGCAAAGATCCAATTTTCAACATAATAAAGAATCTACAAGAAATAATGATTGATAATGTTGAGATTTTTAGTAGTTAGTAGTGCAGTTCAACATGGCAGTAAGTGCCAATGTTCCATTCAATAAGAAAACAACTAGAAAACAATGACTGTCATTCAGAAACTTTTACTGGTTAAGTTCAATTGTGGAGAGACAATATTGTAATATAGCGTAAGATCTCCAAGAAGAGTAACTGACTTGTCAGTAAATCTTCGGAAAGTGTTTAATTCCAGCAACTCCAGAGACAAACAATGAGTTCCCACAGCTATCAAAGCCTCATCTGTAACATTAACACATTGTAGCTTCAGAACTTTCAAAAGAGGACAGCCTCGGGCCACAGCAAGCACTCCTTTATCGTGGATAGAATCAGAATCCAATGACAGGGTTTCAAGAGATTTACAATGAGACCCCACAGCTTCTAATGATAAATCAGTTATCTTCACACAAAGGGCAACACTAAGAGATTTTAGAGATTTCCCGCAACCAAGAGTCAAATCAGCTAGACCCACATCAGTCAACTCTTTACAGGAACGCAAAGTCAGATCTTCAAGTTGCTTACAACACTTTCCTACAGCAGCTACAGCATAATCTCCAACACTGCAACCCTAGAAGAAAACAACGACAACAACAACAAAAAAAAAAAAGAGTTTAGAATGGAAAGTAATACTGAGAAGAAAAAAGATTGGGGGAGGCGGGTGGTAACAATGAAATATTTGTAACTCTTCCTTTTTAAAAGAAACTAAATGCAATTTATGTGTCAATAAAAACAACAAACACACATAAGGGTAAGGGGGTTAGGATGTAGGGGAAACAATAGAATTATTTTCAGCTATACAGTACTAAAACTTATAGGGGAATTACTAGCCATAAAGTTTTCTTGAAAAATATTACCTAATCAATAGAGTATTAGCATTCAAAGTGTAATGCAGATAGGGAGAGAGTTTAGTTTAGTTTAGTTTAGGTTTTTTAATTTTTTTTATTATTATTATTTTTTTTTTTCAGAAGTGAAGTCTAATTGAGGGCAGTTTCAAATCATCTGTGTTAAATGATATGAGTTATTATTTCCTCCGGATCAAACACCTTCTAACGAATAAAAAACCAGGCAAAAGTCCTGATGCATGACATCCAACATGTTAACAGATTGAGAAACCGAATCCACTGAACCAATTTTCAAACTCTAGAGAGTTGAAGTTATGTGTGGCCCTGTGAGGTAATGACAACAGCAGTAAAGCCAGTTTTGTCACATCCATGTACATGATTCTTTTTGCTGAACTTCTCACAGATCTTCCTGATGACCTATCATATTGAACAATCAAGCAACGTTCACCTCATTCTAGCAATAGGTAGGGCTAAATAGCTGGCAAAAGCATTGAACTCTATGCATGGAAAGTATTTTGCTACCTACAGGGCTTAAAACCCAAGAAGCAAGCGTTCGGAAACAAGGTACATTGGGCTCCTGATGCACTACATGCTCTTTATATGTTGTGGGTTTTCGCGTAGTATTCACCTCCTGCACTCACCATCTTGACAAGCTTCCCAACCGCCTTCATCAGATTACCATTTCATTTCAGTTTATGAGCATTTCATTACCACTTGAGACACCAGTGCGGCCTAATCCTAAAACTTCTCTAAGAACAAACCCTCTCCAAGTTAATACTCAGAAGAACTCGAAAAAAAAAAATTGTGCCAAACAGAGGCTTAAATTTAGCAAATTTTGAAGTATTTTCCTTGATTTTAATTACAAATACATATATATGGTTCAAAAACCCTCACATTTCACAAAATCATCTCAAACTTTTCATAACCTATTTACTACACAAACGTAATTACACAGTACTACAATAACTACAATCAACAACCAAGCAAACAATAACATCCGTTAAGCCGGTAATAGTATAATAACAAACAAATTGAAAAGTCCGTAATAAAAAATTACCTCCAAAACCAGAGATTTCAAGTGCATGCACTTGTGAGCAACGGAAATCAAACCCGAATCATCAATACCGGGGCAAAAAGCTAAGGTCAAATTCTCAAGCTTTGAAAAGCTGTCGGCAAGCAAAGCCAATACATCATCCGATAGAGAACGCGGCGAATTTCTAGAAGGTTTCCCGTCGATGTAAATGCTTTTGACGTTGACGAAGCAGCGAGCCAGCTCAGAGAAGTGGTTGGAGCTATCGAGGGTGCTGAGGTGAAGGAAGGTGCGACTGAGGCGCTCCAGCTCGCGCCACCGCTTGCAGACGAGCGAGCACGCGTCGCGGCTCGTTTCCGAGTCGAGGTGCCGGAAGATTTCCATAATTGACTCGTCCGGCAGACACGTGTTGATGACATCGTGCCTGTTCATGATGATGAAGAGATTGTTGTGTGAGAGTGAGTGAGTGTGCGCGTGATTGAGTTCTTATTATGATTTTATCCGAAACCTTGATATTGGTTTACCGGAAATACCCCTTTCTTTTGGTTTCTATCATAACTATCTTGATTTGATGGAACACTTTGACATTGACGTGTGTTTTTCTTTTTCTAGCAACAAAATAAACTTGGTATGCTTTTTGGGATAATGACAGAAAACCTCAAATGTTTTCAGGGAACGACATACACCTACCCAAAGTTTGCTGTAAGAACATATTAGTACGCAAAAGATTTGAAAATAACAAACATATACTTTTCATCATATGCGCTGTTACTAATTTCTATTTATTAAAGGACAACAATGGTAACAAAGACAGGAATGCCCTTAGAAGTTTATATCTTAGTTTTTTATTAATTTTAGTCAACTCATTCAATTACGTAAATACCCACATCATTATGATGAATTACGATTATGCCATCAAGTTATTATAGGTTAGTGAAATGACTAGTTTGTCCCTGTTTTGGTAGCAAATCTTTAAGTGATTATATACAAAGAAAGTAGCAGAATAAAATTAATCATTTGTAATTGAAATTCTTCGTGATTTAAAAGAAATCATTCATACAAAAGAACATAATTTGTAATGAAATTTTTCTTGAGCTACAAATAAACAGAAACTATGAATTTAGTACGACGAAATGTGTTTACAGGGAAGATATACAAAACAAGCAGAAGTAATTTCCAAGATGCTTCTATTACAGCTCCTAAATGTTGCGTAAATCTTCAATTGTATTTATTAAGTTACATCTTTGACAATTTCTTTTTCCATGCTTCACCATTCTGATCTCCGGAAAAGTGTAAACAGACAAAGAGATACATCATGGTTTTCAATAACAAAACAAAAAGATGATCAGAAATTAGAAATATAAATATAACGGATAAAAATTAAGATAGAGAACAAAAATAAATAAAAACACAAACAAATCTACCATGCACGACTGCTGCCTACCTAAACAAATACGGCCAAAATTCAACCACAAAAAACAAGTAGCTCAAATTAATCCAAATCATGCCAAAATTAAAACATAAGCAAACAATCAAACAATTACACCATGCATTACTTAAACATTTATGAATAAATCAGTATGTACCAGGGATTATTCTTTTACATGTTTCAAAGCTGAAAATAAATCTAGAGTACAGCTCCTTGGCTTTCTCAAGTACAGCAGCCAGAACCATATCTGAAATAGGACTTGGACCACCTTTCTTAAGACTGCATCATCAGATACAAAGACAATGATTTAGTAAGTTCTTTCAATCATTGGAACTCCAAGGTTATTATAAGCAGACAAGTTGTCATAAAACCAACAGGAAATAAAAAGGTAGCTATAAAATTTACAATGTTAAAATCCCAAAACAAGGGAGTTGATTTGAAACTATAACATTTAAAAGAATAATCCCTTTGCAAGAGCTTCACACCAATAAACTAATAAGAGCAATGTTGTATACTCTAGATTTATTTTCAGCTAAGCAACTAACTTATGCAGATATGACTTCCTTTCCCATCCTTGAGTACAATTTTTCCTTTTTTGCATCTTGAGCCCCCTGCATTAAAGGCATATTCAGAAAACTATGTAGAAGACCAGAGAAAAAATGTAGTCAAGAATCTAGATATGCACAAGCACAAACCAGCAATCATATTGATCTTAAAATTACCATAATCAATATATACTTGCATATATTTCAGCACGCTTCAAAGTCAAAGAAATTATTATTCAATTCAGAACCATTCCAAAATAATTTTTCACTTTCTTATTACAACTTAAATGCAGAGGAGTCCCTATACTATTGCTAAATGATATCTAACATAATCAATATCCAACAAGTTACATTATATATACAATTAGTGGCGCTATAAACCACACGAACTTCTAAACTCTAGCATACAAGAGTAATTTGATCACAAGAATCTGACTGAGGTATTTTATCAAATAAGTGGTGTTTGAGTGAACTTAGAATAACAGTGAACATAAAAGCTAGTCAATAAACAAAAACAAATACTCAAATAGAGAGTGTAGAGTGAAAGGGAGACCTTTCGGCCAGCAATTTTGCAGGAACGCCTGCACATACAAACAGGAGGGAATGTCTGTATCGTCCTGAGTTGATAGTTGCAGTATTTTACTTCATATAAGTGAGCCCATGAAGATATTGATGATGCTGATGACAATTGATTCCTACTAAGCAAACAATGTCTAGAGAGAGCAAATGAATTTTGAAGAGGCGCCATTATCAACTTCTAATGACACTCCAGCAACCAAAATAATTCAACATTATTACATGCATATAGAAACAATAATACCCAAAATATAAATATAATTATATATACACAAAATTCCTGATTTATAAAACACTTCCATCATTCCCTAAACACACCCTCACACCAAATTTTAATAATCAAGAAAGTCCAAATTATAATTCAACTTTAGCCAATAATAACCACAATAAAAATTTATCACACCGATTTAACAAATTCAATTAAACTTCCTCCTTGCTTACCCAATATAAATCTTCCCATTAAATTCACACAAACACTCCCAATAATCAATTCAAGCAAACCAGCCCCACCATTTGGCTGGATATATATATACATCAACACAATTGGTTGAGCATATGAATTTAGAAGCATAGATAGAAATTGATGTCAAATATTTGAAAATAAACCCATTTCCATTATGTTATCTCAACTAATCATTATACTATAAAATCACTCCTTAAATTAAGACAAATTCAACACAAGCAATAACAGAATTCAACACAAACCGGTAGCAAACTGCAATAGCTATGTTCAGTCGATCGACGATGAAGGCAAAAGAGAAACAGAGAGTCGAAGACCAGGAACCACGATGAAGATGAACACGAAAGAGACCAAGAATCAATCAACGACGATGAACTGATGAAGATGAACGCAAAAGAGGAGCGATAGAGAACGAGAACGCAGATGAGAAAGTGAAATGAAGATGCAAAATTAGATTTAGGTTTTATTTTAGGTCCTTTTAATTTTTGGTCTTTTGACCCAGCTGGCATGAAATTACAAGAAACGGAAATCACTAATAACACATGACGGAAAATACTTATTTGTCGTTTCAAAACCTTTTGGGTATTAGTTTGTCATTACAGTAAACTTTATGTTAACAGCACATGACGAAAAATACTTATTTGTCGTTTCAAAACCTTTTGGGTATTAATTTATCATTACGTTGGTCCATGTTTTAACAAATACTGTAGGCCCCGCTAGTTTGAAGAACGTTAGTGATACCCCAATTTCTTTTAGAAATTAGAAACAAAAGTTTATTAACATAAACATTATACTTAGGCATGGCAATGGGGCGGGGTGGGACGGGGATCTCATTCACCGTACCCATCCCCACCCTCAAAATCACTCCCCACCCCCGCCCCATCCCCATTACGGGGATGACAAGAATTCCCCTTCTCCACCCCATGGGGACTGTTGGAGGCCCGTCCCCGTCCCGTTAATTTTACATAAACATAAATTTGAGCATTACCAAAGACAAATAATTCTCATCCACATGATACANGTAGCAAACTGCAATAGCTATGTTCAGTCGATCGACGATGAAGGCAAAAGGGCAACAGAGAGTCGAAGACTAGGAACCACGATGAAGATGAACGTGACAGAGACCAAGAATCAATCAACAACGATGAACTGATGAAGATGAACGCAAAAGAGGAGCGATAGAGACCGAGAACGAAGATGAGGAAGTGAAATGAAGATGCAAAATTAGGTTTAGGTTTTTTTAATTTTTTTGTTTTTTTGACCCAGTTTGGATCAGACGAAAATCAGGCTTGGATTTGGTTGCAAAATACTATTTTAGTACTCCCACCAAAAAGTTAAACAATAAAATACCAAAAAACTTCTCAATATTATTCAATTTTTTTAAACCCTCTAAATTTATTAATTTAATTAAATACTCTTAAATAATTTTTTAAAAATTACAAGAACACCCTAACAATCCATATTTACTAGATTTCAGCCACCACCATCGGAAAATGACCGGAATCTGGTAGGATGGCGAACTACCGGTTGAATCTGGCTGGTAGTGCATCGATTTAGCATTTTTCAGCCAAATCCACAACGGATTTGACCGAAAAAGACCAGATCTAAGGCCAAAGATTTGGCCGTTGATGGTCAGATCTTTGGCCATAACCAGTCGGTAACGATGGCCAACAAATGGTCGTCGTTGACCATCAACGACGACCGTTTGGTAGCCGTCGTTGACGAGAAAATACGGTCAAATCTGATAGTCAATGGCTAGATCTAGCCGCAGATCTGGCCTTTGCCGGCAAGATCCAGCCGGTCATGAGCCGATACGGCGAATCCGGCCATCCTCCGGTGGTGGTGGTCAGCTGTCCGTATTTGAGGGTGGGTTAGGGGTGTTTTTGTTAACTTTTAATATTTTATTATAGGGGGTGTTTTATAAATAAACAAACATAGGAGATATTTTATTAATTTGTAAATCCTACATCGTAATACCCGCTCAATTCAACTTTGTTTTTTAACTTTTTTCTAAAAACCTTTTCCTAAAAACACAAAATTGTGAACCAAACGGAGCCTAACATCACATGGCAGAAAATATCTATTTGCCGTTTCCAAACCTTTTGCATTCTAGTTTATCTTTACAGTAAACTTAGGGCATGTTTTAAGAAATATTGTGAGCCCCGCTAGTTTGAAGAATGTTAGTGATACCCCAATTTCTTTTAAAAATTAGCAACAAAAGTCTATTAACATATAAAATGACCCTTTTACCCTTTTTCATCCTCATCCTATGAACTTTGTACCTGGAGTCTCTATAGCCATTGGCCTCGTAGACAGTCTTAGGGCAACTCTAAAAGCCTTGGAGCCTGGAGGTTTTCTGTAATCACTTTTGCTGCACATATTAACATTAATATTGCTGAAGCTAAACCTGACCGTTGCACTTCTAATCCCATATTATGACCTGTAATATTTGACAAATATTGGTTCGTTTAAAAACTTAGTATCATTCCGTTGG